TAGTTTTTTTCTATGGGGCTTTCAATTTTAGGGGAATGGTTTTCGGAGCAGCGGAGCTCCCTAGACTGCCACGTCGGATTCATGTCTCTGTATATATATTTGTAGTAAAATGATTTAGAAGATCCACTATTTTTTTTTTTAAATAAATTGTAGGAATTCCAAATATTTGGTTCATAATTTGAACCGAACTAACTTCTTTGTGTTACCGTTAGGCCACTACACATTGATTAAAATCTACATTTGATTAAAATCAACTTTGATAAGAATATTATCTAGATGTTTATAAATTTGTATATATATACTAAGGAAGCTATAACTAAAAAAAGGAGAAAAAATGTTGATAGATAAAAAATGAGTACATCAACTAAATCCCTTAAATCGAAGTTTAGCATCATAGAAAAAAAAAAAGATTATATGTTTTGTTTTTTTTGAGACGCAGCGACAAGCGCCTACGACAAAAAAATTAAAAAAAAATCGTCGTTGTTGACGCAAAGACGCAACAGTCGCTTGAATTTGTAGTGGCACTTTTTGAGTAATGCAGCGACATCGTCGTTTTGTTTTATCACTGGTTTCGGTTATTGCCGTTTTATTTTGCCGTAGTCGCAAATGCAGTGACGAGCAAAAGAACAGGCTAGACATGTGATCGGTGCGAGAGCTAGAGAAGCCGTCGTGCATCAATGTAGGCAAGCTCGCAAACTCTTAAGGTTTCTGGCGAATTCTAAAATTTTGAGAAAAAAAATAGTTATGACTTTTTTTTCAATAAATATTGTTTCTAATGAGAATTATTTAATTTTTTTTTTTAAAAACAAAAAATATTTGACAACATATGTACGTGTTGTTACTATTTCACTATTTTCTTATAATTTGTTACCTTTCGCAAACATATATGATAAAATGGTCAAGAGACCAAACAAACACGAGTGATTCAAGTTTACAACACAAACATACCAAAGTCAGTATTCTCGTATGCATATATAAATATCCAAGACTTCATTAGAAATCTCTCTTTGTTGTAAGCCAAAGCGTTGATGGCTTTCTTCAAAAATTTATCGGCGTATTATTTTCTGTAAAATAACCGAGTGTATAGATTATATCGACTTTTTGCATAAGAGAACAAACACAACAAAAGTATGCATTTGATGAGCTACGACGAGAAAAAAGGAGAAAACAAGACAATGTGAATTGCAAGAAGATGGTCATATGGGAGATCGTATGGTGTCCACACCGATTTACCTACGAGAAGCTGCATTGCCGGAATTTCAACTGTCTAAGAAACAAGAACCTTATTCTTCGAATTCCCATTCAATATGTCAAAACCATATCATGAGTTCTCTTAGTGCATTATTGTCTTTCAATAAATGCATTGAATAATCTCATCCTTCGCTTGTAAAAGACATAATGAAGAAAATTATGTATACTCCTCTTCTGCCTATTTTTCTCTAAGTAACATAAGAAAAATAATTTGGTTAAGAGAGCGCCAAACGTTTTGTCAGAGAAGAAATCCCAAAAATTGTATAAGAAAACGGTATTTCAGTGAGTAGATGAATAATATAACATTGGGAGTATACTAATGATCCCTATCAAAAACTTCCCAAAAGATTGTAATTACTCCATATTTTTTCTCAGACATTGAGTAACATTATTGACATATGGTTGTGTCTAAAATGTTTTTGAATAACGTATAATTTAAAGGTTATATATACTCGTTTTTTGGTCAAAAATTTGCTTTCAAGACCTAGGGCTTTTCTCTCGTCTCTAATCATTGAGAAAGCTACCATCGTTAGATTAGATATTCGGTGGCCGGCGACTCCTCTAGCACTGGTTGCCAGTCCTCCTCGTTTATTTGCTCTCGTTTTTGTAAACTCTTTTTAGTTAAAACCCATTGTTTTGGGTTGTTGCTTGTTGATTTCAAGATCTTTTTAGCCTCGACGTTAGTCGGTCAAACGGAAACGGAAGCGACAATACCTAGGGATCGACGTTGTTGCATCAATGAAAAACACTTCTTCTTTTCGTACATAATTTGCGGAGACGACAATAGATCGATCACAATAAAACATAAATGAAATTACAACCTTTAAAATAAATTGCTCTATGATATTTTTATAGATATGATAACTAGATTAGTAATGTTTGTCTTGGTGATTACAACTACTAGAATATGAACCGCGCATTCGCGCTAGATTTTGTTATACAA